GGGACCCCATGCTGGTGCGGGGGAAGGAGTCATCCCCGAGGAGGAGGGAGCGGCAGAAACACCGTGTGATGAACTGACCTTAAGCCCCCGTCCCCTGTCCCCCTGTGCCGCTGGGGGAGGAGGTGGAAATCAGGAGAGAAATTAAGCCCGGGAAGAAGGGAGGGGTGGGGGAGGTGTTTTAAGATTTGGTTTTATTTCTCATTATCCTCTTGTCCGATTTGTAATAAATTAAATTTGGGTTTTTTTCCCCCAAGTTGAGTCTGTTTTGCCCGTGTCAGTAATTGGTGAGTGATCTCTCTCTGTCCTTATCTCCACCCACGAGCTTTCGTTATATTTTTCTCCCCCTGCCCAATTGAGGAGGGGGAGTGATAGAGTGGGCTTTGGTGGGCATCTGGCATCCAGCCAGGGCCAACCCACCACAGGAACATGCTTTAGAAAGAGGCACCCTTTAAATAGAAAGGTGATTTCATCTGAAGATGACAAACCAAACCAACTGCATGAACTCTAAACTCTTCAGCTTTTTGTTCCTTTTGTGCAGCTTGTTCCTAGTAGCTCACACATGCTGTAAAATGTGTGATCTGCCTTGATTTTGCCTGATAGTCTTCTATTTTTGATTTTCCCTAACATAAATTTCTCTGAACAGTATGCAAGATTTACTTGATAGTGTTTCTAAAAAAAATAAGAATACCGTAGTTGTAAAGCTGTGCAATCCTTTTAAGACTGATTGTGGTATTCAGGCATTCGCAGTCAGTGAAATCATGATACAACGGTTTGAATATTAAGACTAATGTGAGGGAAAACTGTGTTTTTATAATTAAAATAACAGAGAATGAAGCCGAACAGTTAAATATGAATCTTCCAGTGAAAAAAAATAGTCCCTTCTCTCCTAGAAAACATATTGAAGATATGTATGGAGTCAGGACAGCAGTTACCACAGATCATTTGTGGGTTGACTAGAGAGCTAACATACTCTTTGGTCACTCCTCTCACAGTGTCGTTGCAACAGATGGCAACAGCTGCTTTCAAACAGTAGTGGTTGCAATAGCCATCATTACTACTGTCATAAGGTGAAAGTTCATGTTTTATCATGGCAGAAAACTCTTAAATCTAAATTAATAATAGAATTCAATGCCAGACAGTTCTTGCAGATTCCCCCTGTCCTCCTACCCTTTATAAGCCTGAAATTCATAAGATTCACTTCAAACACTAGCAGAACTTGTTGCATTGAGTTGTGGTAAAGCTTCTAATTCAAATGATGTAACATTTATATGGTTAGCATGAAAAACATCTTACAACTTAAAATTCAGAAATTTTATGGCATAGAAATAACTTAGCCTTTCTACTCAAGAAACATTTGACAGGTAATTTTTAAAAGATTCTTTTGGAATCCTTAGAGATAGACATCAGCTTAGTATAGTGCTTTGCAGCTTAATGGTAGATGTTGCATATGTCAAAAATGCTTTAAAAAAACCTTCTGAGCTGTCTATAACATGAGTTAATGGGTACAGAGTACCCTCAACACCTTGTGTCTGCGTCAGTCCAGTGCAAGGAGTGATATAACAAGCTTTATACAGATATACTTGGGCCTCACACCTCTATGCTTTCAAATATGCTGCTTTCAAATCAGCAAAACTCAGAACTAAAAATAAAAAAAAAATGTTGCTTACTTAAAGAAGATAACTGTGATTTTAAGAAGCCTCCTAAGTATTTTGTAGATAGGTTTTGAAAACCTGAAGTTTGACTGGGCTGTAATTTGTACTCTTACACGAGGTTTTCAGAGATAGGTGAAAATAGAGTTGGACTTGTCCAATTTTACAAGATTTTAAAAACGTACTTCACATAAGCACCTTGCTTATCTTTGTACAGTAAAAAACGGTCTGCCAAAGTTCCAGTGGTGTTTTTTATTAATTCCTGTAGAAACATGAGTGAAAATTTCCATAAAGTTGGTGTTTCAATAAGCGCATGCTGACATTGAATCATTAATCTGTATTATATGTCTTATGCTTTGTCTAACCACAAATGTTTTAACATGTAGTTAGCTGATTTAGTTTAATAAGTAGAAAAAACAGAGTGGACACATACTTTGGTTTAAACAGGTGTTAGCATTTGCAAAATGAAAATATTTTAAGTTAAAAAACCCCCAACATTCCTCAGTTGTTAGCTTGCAGCAGTTTAAATAATCAATTTAGAATTGGTTCATGTATAGTCTATGTAAATATTTTAGTAATTAGAGCCCTTGGTTTCTCATCTGTGAGCTGAAAAGCACACATTTACCTTAAAGAAAATTGTGAAGTTGTATCAGCTAATGTTTGCAAAGCAGTGAGATAAAATGGTGATTTTTTTAGCATATAAAAGAATTTTCAAATGAAATAATGGGATTGAAAATGCTATGGGTCGTACAGTACAAAATATGCATAGCTATCAGTTGGAGGATGTCATCCTTGTCACTGTTAGAATAAAGCTGATAACTGTTACGCATTTTTCCCCCAAGTTACTTTGTAACAGTAAAATGATCTCCATCTTCTCCTGGCACACGGAAGTTGCACAAATCTTCAGCTCAATGACAACTAACCCAATTCAGATTTTAGTTACCTGAATATAACCAGAGAGCTTTCTCCCAACTTTAAAGAACCAACAAGGAATATTGTCCCGCTTTTCAAAGCATTTTAAAACACTATTTTGCTTTTGTCTTGTTTCCCAATAAAATGTGTGGGTTTGAATCTTGAATAGCTGTCCTAAAATACATGAAGAGCCCTGATACAAAGTGGCCTAAAAGGATAAATTCTGGTTTTACTGGGTTTTGAAGTTGTATTTGATCAGACTATTTCAGACATTTGTAATAAAGCCTAAATTTTATACATTATATTTACAACAAGAAAAGAATTATAGATTAAATAGATTATTTCAACTAAAATTTAAGATGTCAGGTGTAACTATGTAGTTTTAATGTCTAAGTTAACTACTATTTCATTTTTTTCCTCTTCTTCACAGCTTCCAAAGAATGAAGATTTTGATAATGATTGATTTTGTCCTTGCAGCTAGCTTGATGGATGCCTTTGGCAGCAATGTAAGTTCTAGCAATTAAATTTGGCTATAGAGTTTCTTCTAAATACTTAATACCTTGTCCTCCATAGTGCTTAGAATGTTTCTCAGCTGCATGGGATGGCAGAACCTTTGATGGAAAAGATTGGAATTCAAAACAAAACTGAAAAACTGGGGAAATAACCTCAAATGATATTTAGCTGGGACAAGTTTCTGGTAATGAAAGAGGAAACAAATGCATAAATATACAATGGAAGATAAAGGACTGGGCAGTAGCACTGAAGAAAGTAATCCAATGAGTTTGTTACTGGATCCAACATGAAATAGGAGGCGATAGAGTATCTTTGCTAAAAAAGGTATCATATGATGCATTAACAGGCTCATTGTACAGAAGGAACACAACACAGTTATAGTACCGTTTATGGGTAATGCTAACTCAGAATAACACCTTTAGTTTTGAGCAGCACACGCACACAGACACACACACAAACCTCACCAGTCCTGTACTGCCTGTCTTGGCTGTCCTTCCTAGTTTGATATTCAGGTTCTAACTAGCAGGGACCTGGAAGACTGAATTGTTGATTCATAATTGTCTAAGTGGAAGTAGTTGCTGAATTTACAACTTGATGAGCATTATTGTTTGTGGCTTACATTATCTTATGGAAGCCTTTTGTTCAGATAAGTAGCTCTATAGAGGCAGAATAGGAAGCACCTGCCTCTCTAACCACTTCTGCTCAGCAGAGAAAAATATCACTAATTTTTCTAGAAGCCTACTGAGAAAAAGACATTACAATGAAATGCATTTCCTTTCTTTTGATTTTTCATTTGGAGTGTTATGGTCCTTGGCTGACCCTGTGACTAAAAACTGGGAACATTCTGAAATTTATCTCTTAAGTTTTCACATTTTAATCTCATTAAAACACTAATCTCATTAGAGATTTTTTTGGAGCTCATTTAAATTCATAAAAATATCAGAAATAACATCTCAAGTAAAAATTTTATATTTTTATAGTTCTCCTAAAGTATTCTGAGTCTAATTTATAGCATCAGTTTTAATGGAAGGTCATTAACTACTAAATAATTCACACAATAATGAAATAATGATTGTGAATGCACATTAATTGCAGCAGCTGGTTAAATATGGGACCACATGTCCAAGAGGAGAGCTGTCAGCTATTGTTAGATAATTGCTTCTCAATGTGTAGTACAAACAGTTGCTTCACTGAAACAGATGGAACAGGTTATGTTCAGTCTGGTTTCTGTCAGTGGGCACTACTGTCCACTGGAGACAGGCACAATCAAATTCACATTTTTTTGAGTATTTTGACATTGTAATAGTTTAACTTTGGTCCATATCTAACAAAAGGCATAGCAATATGTTATAGCTGCCCACTCTTATAACCCTAGGTTACATTTTGCTTCTGTATTACTCCAGCTGTGCACTGTTTTAACTTCAATGATTTTAAAAGAGTTATCCTGTGAAAAAGTGTAGTAATATATTAAAAGAACAGTCTGGTCACCTGCACATCTAAAAGCCACATTGATCTACCTTGAAGTTATACATCTAACTTGTGATTGTCCCATGGGAAAAATAGTTGTGGAATTACAAATGACAGAATTGAGGTTTTGGTGTTCAGCAGCAAAGTGCAGTGAGATTTGTCTGGAGTTGACAGAAAGACACTTCAATGAGGAGGCTGAAGTCAGGGAGAGAAAGCAAAGTATCAGGTACCAGTACTTTTCATATGTAGGTTACTTTCAATTTCTGCTCAGTCATTTCTTTCTTGTGGTGTAGTTATTCAGTATGGCTGGTGATTTCTTGAGTGACACTTACTGTTTACCAGCACTGTGACTTAAAGCCTTTTCATAAGGAAATTGCTATGTCTAATGTAGCTATATTACTGTTCACCCTATAATGAGTGTATTGTCTGTAAAGCGGATGCGAATCATCTCAGTGTTAGTTTTTCATTTTCATGAATTAATTCACAATTTTTAAGTAAATAAAAAGACAAGATCAATTTAAAATGCAAAATTAATAATATTTAGAGGCATAGCCTGTTGCAGACTTGTATTTAATTTGATTCAAATGGAAGGACCTTTTATGGTGGTGTGTGAAGTAGTGTAATGCTGAATTCAGATACCAAGTTTTTCTATGGTACAATAATATTTTTTGAAAAGTTCTGTACTTTTACTGTATAATTTAATCACAGTAGGAGAATGACTTTTAGCAGTATGAATAGGTAAATTGATTGATGAATTTTCACTACAGCTGAAAGAAACACACTTAGCTGCCTCTCCTCAAACGTGCAGAGTTGTGTTCTCTCCAGAACTTTAAGTAGCTCTTTGTGGCTCAGACCTTGCCATGTGTTAAAGATACTGCCCACCTGAAGTCTTGCTTATGAAATTGCAAGGGCCTGGTGGCAGGGGCCCCCATTTCCAGCATCAGCTAGGTCTTTCCTGTTGTATTTTACCATGTTCTGCAAGGTTGCAACTACTGATACAGGCTGACCTTCTCAAGAAACAAACGCTGCAGTAAAACTGGTAAGTGTGGCATGGTGACTCCTTTATTGCTCTTAACTTAATATGATTAGGATTAATATTTGGTCTGACTGTTAACATGGGTTTTTTGATAGCTTTACTTCTATAGTTAGCATTAGCTCATCAGGGTGAGCCTGGAAATATTTTTAATTATTATTATTTATTTACCCTTTCTGAACCCACCTATGCAGCTCTTTGGTTCTCTGTAATTTTCTATATGCACTCAGGACGAGTCTGAGAATTTGCAAAGACCTGTCAAGGAAACCTCTTCTGAATTTCCCAGTTCAACTCAGCTTTTGTGAAGAGTTTATAGGAAGCTGCAGATACAAGTTGAGACAACCACACTGGAAAGGCTGCATAATAGTGCATATTTTCTTTGTAATATACAACATGTCACACATGAACTGGTGCTTATGGTCAAATAACATCCCTCTAAGCCACTGTAGCAAGTTTGTCTCTGTATGTGCGTATATTTTAAGTATTTTTTTCTCTTGTTTCCTGCTAGAAGAATAGAAGGGTATGCTAGGGATCTCATATAGCTATCAACAACTGAAAAAGATTTTCAAGGGAGTGTTCTTAAATAAGATAAGAATATAGCGATATTAGGTCATTGGCTGCTTTGTTTATTCTAAAAATTTTAGTGTTTGCCAAACGTGCCTCTCACTTTACAGCCCCTCCTTGTGGTCAAGCATCTTAATGGCTTTTCAGGGCCTAATAGCAAGCAGACAGTTGGAGTCTGCAGTCACTCCTGCTTGGCAGAGCAGCCTGACCTGGGCAGCCCAAACCCAGAGAGTCAGTTGGACCTTTTCCCCTCGAACGGGTCACTGACAAACTCTCTAGTCCTGACACATTTATATTACCCGTTCTTTTATTCCACCACGTATATTAGATCATAGTTAACTATGAATTAATGGAAGCATAGTTAACAATGAATTAACGTTTCTGATACACTTCAAAAACAGTTAAAGCAGAGGCCTATATTCAGGGTTGCTCTGCAAGGTCAGCATGCTTGATCATCAAATTTTTTGGTGTGATTAAATATTGAAGGCAAATGGACCATGATGGCTAGGAACCATTTTACTGGACTCATGGACATATATTCTTTTATCTTCAAATACTCTCTTGAAATCTCTCCATTTGCTTATTTGTTGAAAGTGAATTGCACCCTCTCTAGTGAAAAAGCAAAGGGGCCTGGACACCTGCAACACTTATATCTGTCAGAAATAACATGTCATAGTCATGGCATGGTTTATATATATGTTCCTTGACAGTAGCAGACGTTTCTCTGCTTTTTAGTTATGAAAAAAATCTGCATGTAGTTGAGTCATAAAATACAGTTTCTAATTAATACTGTTAGCTTAATTCACAAAGTTTATTCTTGGCATTGTGGTGAATGGTACTGCAAGGAAGTCAGTCTAACCAGAACTATGTTTGTGCTGCATAGACACTTACAGAATGGTATCAGCTTTTCAGATAGAAGGAAAAAAAAATCACTGTAGCAAGAAAGTGACAAGAAACATTTTGGTGGCAGTGTTCATGGAAAATAGGTGCAGCCTGCACCTGATACAAATGAAAGTAAGCAGATGCCACTGGAGGTGCACATCAGTATGCTACTTCAGATCTCTCTGTAGTTCAGGGTGATAAGGCAATGTTGTAAGCTAAGAGCTCTTCCTTCTGGATTGCAAATGTTACAGGTCCACATCCTTAGCTCATGTAAATAATGTTGTCCTATGAATAAGGCTGCACTAGTTTAGAACTACTGCATATTTGATCTTGCATATCAGATTTCCAAAAGGTTGCCCTCTGATTTTGCTTTTACAGTGCTAGTTGTGCTCTGGTACAAGTGCCATGGCTACAAAGCTCTGTTTGCTCTTATAAAATTGCAGACACAATGTTACTGATGCAAAATCTCATATCACATTTATAAAATGTATCATAAAACCCCAAAATATTTTTTTCCCCATGTTGAAATCAAATCTGTGTAATATATATTTGAAATTGTGCAGGCTGTTTTAATTTAAGTTCCCTAGATTGGGTTCTGTTCACTTTGGCTGTTTTACCATAGTTATTAATCTAAAAACAATTATTTATTGCTGTTTGTACATTCAGCATGTCAGAATTTGGAACAGTTATTCCAGCTCTCTTGTCACGTATCAGTATTTGCACCGGGATGAAATGAGTGCTGAGTATCACCATGTCCATGTCAGAATTGCCCATTTACCCACTCTGCATGGCAAAATTAAGTGTACAAGTCATAGCACAATATTGACTTTAAATTATTCACTTTTCTTTTTCATGCATATTCAAAGCTTCTTAGGGACTATTTATTTTAGCATGCCAAAAATGAGCTCGATACTTTACAATATTTATGTCAGCAATGTTAAGATTCTTATAATAAGAAGTGTGTAATCTAAAAGCATTTGAAAAATGCACAATGAAGTTGAAAACATATCAGTGTGGACTGTATTTATTGAAAAGTCCAGAATTTTAGAACCTTCACAATGTTAGTAGCAGGCCTTACTAGACAGTAAATCTCTGTACATGGCAGGTGATAGGGAATAAGCAATCTTTATGATCGGGTCTGTACTATAGTCTTTTTCCATAAAGTTCTCTCTGCATGTTTGCAGTGAGAACTGGTAGTTCTAGCCACTAAAGAGAAGGTCTCTTTGCAAAGCAAATATATGTTTGGACACTCTGTAATACACAAAATAATTTTAAATAGAGGTAGCAATTGAGGTGGAAGTCAACATAGTGTCTGTGGGAACTTGTGACCAAAATGTTTTATTCAAGTTACATTTTATTAATGGTTTGTTTTGCTATTCTTTTGTGTCACATGTTAAATGTGACAAAAAATTGCTGATTTTACAGTAACACATGTTTTCCTCTCTAGGATCTGCAGAACTGTTTTCAAGAGCAGATAAGACTTCAGGGACAGGTGAGGCTTCTGGAACATCGTGTGAAACAGCAGCAGTTAAAAATTACACAGCTTTTAGAGAAGAAAGAGATTCAGTACAGTGACAGAGGAGAAGAAAACAATGTCATTGACTTGGGAGGAAAAAGACAGTATTCAGGTTAGAAATGAAGCTATTCTTTTCATTTCCATTCATTATAATGATACCCAGAAGCTTTAGCACAATTGGGTCTATTGATATATTGTCTTAAAAGCCCATAGAAAATTGTTTGTTTAAAACACAGTGTTCAGCTTTTACCTAGGCCTGCTGCCTGTTTGTCTCACATGGTATAAATCAGGACTGAAGTGGTTCATTCTTTTATTTATAACACATAATTAAAAAAAATCAGTGAACAATAAATGCAAAATAAATATCAGCAATACAACAGGTAAAAGCCAATAATGACATTTACAAAATATTAATAAACAGTTACAGATTTCTAAACTCCCTTCTTTGACTAATCTCAGAAAACTCTAATCCACAGGGTCAGTTCACAGAGTCACATGGGTTACAAGCACACACTGACTCTGTTCCCATCTGTGGAGTCCCTGAGGCATCTATATTTACACACATAAGCCTGGCAAAATGACATCTACATCTCACTTTAATAATATTCGTATGTTGCACCATTTTGACTGAGTTAAGTTCATCTTAGGACATCACAGCTTCTAAAATACTGGGTTTAAGTGGTTTTTGTAATCTCACCAGCATTCTGGTGGTGATCGGGTCCCTCTGCAGTGGAAGAAGGCTAAGCATGCTAGCCCATAATAGCTGGAGTAAGGTCCAAACTCTTAAAATAGTAAAACACCATCCAAACCAATAGTTGGACTGAAAATATAATTTGGGAGTCTGATTCTCAGATGGTGTTCATTTCTAATTGTCTCTTGCTAGAGGGCCTGAACTTCTATAATTTTTAATAGGCTTGTTTGAATATACTTGTAGTGTTTATGCTGCTGGAAGAAATCACAACATATAAAAAGGCATCAAATACAGTAAAGGACCATTAAAATGAATTAAAAGCAGTTGTAAGTCTGACTTTAAATTTTAGCCATACATTTATTCATGTATTCAGCATCCTGGAATATGTTTTTATTATGGCTGACTCATTTGTTACTGGAAAAGATTATTAAAACCACATTTAGCTGAAAGGTATTTGTCCATTCTTAGCATATTCCTGAATTTATTTTCTTAAAATGTGATTTTAAATAACAAATGTAAGCTGTTTCTGGTTTCTGATGATTTTTTTTTTTTCACTTTCCTTATAGCTTGGAAAATGCTTTTCTCTGTTGATACTGCATTATTTCATTCAAACTGCTGTAGCATTTTAATGTCAACAGAGCTGGATAAGTTGGGGTTAGATAGTGAGGGAGAAATTCCACACTATTATATACACCTGCTAAAAATTAAAATATGCTTCAGTGTTTTGCTAAACTACTAAGAAAATAATGGACAAGAAAAGCTTCTTTCTATAAGCCAATCAAACATTCTCTAGAAAGACAGCTTAGCTGTTGTTTAAATAATGTTTTCTATTAGAGTTTATTCAAATCCTGGCATAGATATTTGTTTTCAGTATAAACTGTTTCTTTTCTATGTCTAATCTTCAATGATGCTGTCACTGAGAAGAAATATAATAGTTCACCAAGTTCCAAACTGTCCTGGAAGTTCAGCCAACATATTCATAAATGTTTTAGGGAACATCTTACAGTTAATCAGCCCTCCCTTTGCCAGGAAAAACAGAAATGGTGACAATTATATGTCTTTCCTGTATGACTGCTTGATGGTAGATTACATATAAACAAAGAACTCCTTTAATTTCTTAACTCATAGAGGAAAAAGCTAAGATTATACAATTACACTGCTCTTATATTTTCATGAGCTCTGGATTTCATCATTGCTGTAAGAGCTGATTAGTCAGTAACACCAATGCAGACCAGACTGTAAATGGTATCAAGCCAATCTGGTATCATTTTACACATACATTGCACTTTTGGGTGGTAGTTGTCTATATATTTTTGCACCGGTTTGTTACAAGGGAAAAGACTATCAGGTCCAGCAATTGTTTCCCTTTTCTAACACTGCTGATTCCATACTCTTGTTTTTAGCAGTTCTCCTGTGGACTTTCTGGACATAGAAGTACACGTTTGTTTTTAAAGGTTACTGTGTGTATAATATGTGGAGAAGGTACATGATTCTAACAGGATTCTAATGTGGATTATAACACTGTAAAATAAAAGTGACACCACTTAAACCAGAGTAATTATTTTGCTAGTCATATGAAAACAAAGATGTTAGTATTTTCTGGTGGAAAAAATATTATTTTAAAGAAATGTAAAAATAAATACAGCTCAATAAACTTTTAAAGAAACACTAATACAAGAAAATGCTCAAAAGTCATAAAAACATGTTTGCATAGGTATTTCCTTTGTATTAGTCTCGTCCATTTGTGACTCTTACATGATATGACTTCTTTTCTGTTACTGTCTTGATTCTGATTTTGCCAGTAAGTATAGGACTAAAAAAACTGTGTCCAATTAATGTTTTGTGAACAGATTGTGCAGAAATCCACAATGATGGCCATAAGCAAAGTGGATTTTATAAGATGAAACCTATCCAGAGTCCTACTGAATTCCTTGCCTTCTGTGACATGTCTGAAGGAGGTGGTTGGACTGTATTTCAGAGACGTTCTGATGGCAGCCAGAATTTTGATAGGTAGGTACTTGACTTAGTCATTAAAGTTGGAAACAAAGTGGAGAAACATTAAACCAGATGGAGCTAAATTAAATTTTAACTTTAGAATAACATGAGTAAGTTATTACCTCAGATAAAAGGGAGGAATGGTTATTTTGTGGGACAGCCTCCACATGAGATACCTCTTGGCTCTGTCTCTCTTCTGTGAGACATCTCTTCTAGTCTTTTTCTGACAGCTTGTGCATTTTACAAGAGGACATTTCAATGCCAAGCACATTAACAGTTGTTGGAGCAAGAACTCTTAATGACAAGTAAAGGGCTACCTTGTCTTTTGCAAATAGTAAAAATCTAAAAAAGTGAAAATGTAAGCAATCTGCTTGAACCATTAGCAAACAAGTATGAGAGAAACCCACCACAGAGTAATTTGTAGCTCATGGTAAAATGCCTGCAGGAAAGATAAGATGGGTGAGAACTTGATTTGTGGACATCTAACCTCCTTGCCTTTGCCAGGACTCAAGCACTTTTGGGAAATGTCCAGAAGTGAAATTTTTGGTGCTGTGAGACTTTAATATAAAAAAGCACAGATATTTATGTATATTAGAAGCAACAAGAAGGTTTTTAGAACCTCTGCATTGCCCAATTTGCTTTTCACGTATCTGCATCCTTCTATGGATTTGTGTCGTACCTGTGTTTATGATTACTGTAACTAACTTTACAATACCCTTATGAAATGGAGAAGCGATCCCCAGAGAGGATGAAAAACTGCAATCCAGACAAGAAAACTTTGCTTATTTTATATAATATGGTCAGACAAGCAACAGAAGCAATCTGTAGTTTACAATTGTTACCATCACACACCACCCATTCTTCTCCCTTGCCAGAGACTACCAGCTGCTTAAGTCACAGGAGCTGCTTTCTCTTATGATTGCCTGTCCACAGCTTAATACTTTGACCCATTGGTTGAAGTATGGTTTCTTCTCATCAAAATCATAATTTTGTCCACATTAGAATGTGTCATGAAACCAAAACCACTGAGAAAGTGTTTAAAAGCCACTGTAGACAGGGAAAAGAGCCAATGCTTTCAGTATGAACATTAATTCTTGAAAATATGCACCAGTACGTGTTAAAAAATTGTTAGAATCAGTCAATAAGTCAAAGCTGGAAACAGCGAGCTAATACCTCAATTTACAAAATTACATATCCAGCTGCAAGAGTTTCACAGCTTAATCAAATCACAGAAAATAAAGAAACAATGCTGGTGATACACTTACACATTCACTTAGATCCTCTAGATTTAACCAGGAAAAACATTTTAGCTTTAGGTAAATTGTGTTATACCAGAGATTGGACTGAGCTAATATGTTTTCTTTTGGTCTTAAAATCTGTTAATCTTAAACCACTTTGAACATACCTCTTAGGACTGTTCTTTGGACTGAGATTCAGTGACCAGTGTAGTAAAGGATTCAGCCATTCACACGTGAAAAATAGAAATAATTCTGTGAAGATCAACCATGTAAATAATATAAGGTCTAAAATATTTTTGTATTAATGTTTTGATATATAATGAACCTACAGGGAGTTCAGCAGAGAACTACCAAGATGATCAAGGGCTGGAGCACTTGCCCTGTGAGGGCAAGCTAAGGCTTGTTCAGCTTGGAGAAGAGATGGCTTCAGCAGAACCTAGTAGTAGCCTGCCCGTACCTACAAGGATGTCACTAAGAAAACAGAGCACTTTCAGAGCTCATTGAGGCTCTTCACAGTGGTGTCTGGTGGAAGGATGAGAAAGCACATACATAAGTTGAACCAAGAGAGGTTCAGACTGGATATAAGAAAAAACTTTCTTATTGTGAGAACAGTCAAGAGGTTGCCCAAGGAGGATGTGCAGTCTCCATCCTTGGAGGTTGTAAAGACCAGACTGGGCAAGCCCTGAGCAACCTGGTCTGATCTCCTGGTTGACCCTGCCTTGAGCAGGACATTGCACTAGATTACCTCCTGAGGTTCCTTCCAATTTGAATTATTCTGTGATCTGTGATTGTCTGAAAAAATGAACATTCAAGAAAACTTTTTTGATAAATTAGTAATTTATGGTCTTTTCAGGGTCTGGACTGACTATGAAGAAGGCTTTGGAAATTTTGTTTCGACAAATGGTGAATATTGGCTTGGAAATAAAAATCTTCATTATTTGACTAATCAAGGTAAGATTTATATTGTAACAATAGTCTTCTATTGTTTCTGCTTCTTTGCTCTTTCCAGGCCATTTTTTGTTACCCTTTTTGTTTGCATAAATCCCGAGTTCTTCTGTTGGTCTACTTGGACTTCTCCAAGTTTCAGAACAAAATACATTTGAATATATGTTTTCTAATAAAAGGTTCAAAACTGTCATTGGGCTAATGGCATGCAGGGAGCCTCTGCAAAACAGGGAACAGTAGACAGGAGTATATCTTAAAAGAATTGTCTCTACCCATTTCACAGTCAGCATCACTAATGGTCCAGAGTCAGGTAGTATGTACCAATTCATTTAGTCAGGGCTTTACACAGCTGCATAGGCTATTACATGAAGGTAAATCTAGGCCTGTCCTCTTGATTACTCTAGTCTTAGAAAGCTATTTCAATCTTTCTAATAGTCACTCAATCTAAGATAACTTCTACTTTGCTGTAGAATGCTCCATATACAAAACTTACCCATGACTTAGCCACCTAATTCATATTAGGAAAACTGTGCCAGCACCACATGGTCTTAGTTGAACTCTTTTATCTTCAGAGTATAAAATTCGTATTTTCTCAGCTGTATGCTTATTGATTGATTCTCACTATCCTTTCATTACCACCTCAAATACCTTACTAAAATATAAAGCCATAAGGCCCCCTTTTTTTTTTGTCAACACTTGAAAATCTGTAGTGAAATAATTCTAAAATTTTCTAAGCTGAATCAAATGAATAAAGACAAAGAATAGCAATATATGCTTTAAGAAAGAAGATAAAAAACCATAAAATATGCTGTGATGATACAGATAAGATTAATGATAAAAACATAATTAGTATTTTAGTCTTCTACTATACTATTCTGTTCTGAAAAGTCGTGAAATAGGCTAGTTTAACCAAAATAATTTGTGTTGTTATTTCTTAAGGGAACTATACTTTAAGAATTGATCTAACTGATTTTGAAGGAGAACGCCGTTTTGCACAATACACAAGATTCAGAGTTGCAGGTGAAGAGGTAATAAAATATTAAATAATGACTAGAGGTTTTAATGAAAATGTGGATTCTGTAGACAGACAATATTATTATCATGTTTTCTTTCTTACAAATGCTTTGAAAATTCCAAGCATGAAAACAGTAGCAAATGGAACAGATTAGTTTCCTTTTTGTGTTTTCACTTTCTGACATGCTAAAGGTTAAAGACATATTGGATTACTTTTTTTTTTTTCCCCCCCTTTCTTCACATTTTTCATTAGCATTCTTATGAGCTGAGCTGTGGTGAATACTCTGGAACAGCTGGTGATTCTCTTACTGGTGGATTTCATCCTGAAGTAAAATGGTGGGCTGATCATCGAGGAATGAAATTCAGTACTAGAGACAGGGACAATGACAACTATGAAGGGAACTGCGCTGAAGAGGAAAAGGCTGGCTGGTGGTTTAACAGGTATTTTGACCTTTTACTAGTATTGTCAACTATTCTGCTTCATACATATTCATACAATAATTGCATAAGGTAGAAGACAGGAATGGCATTGCTTGTTTTAATTGCAATCTGCCCTTGGCCCCTACCAAAGATCTCAGTGCTGGTAAGACTGAGACTCACCTTAGAAGGGACAGCACCTACTGCACAGCTCAAGCTGGTCTGTGATAATGGTATTTGCCATAGGCCGTGGTTGTCTGTTATCAGACAGTAAAGAGAAGATAATTCTGCCCCTTCAGGGTAACCAGTTTTTACACAAGTAGGTCATGTAGAGTTTGCAGGTGTATCCCTGTTGTACTTCATTCTTCCATTTCTCCTGCGTTGCACTAGACCAGATGTGGCAGTACTGCAGAATATCTGACGAGTTAAGCTACTGCTGGGCTATTAAGCCTCATTTTTTCACCTCAGTTCACAGCATCTCACTCTTGTTATTCCTTCTATATCAAGATGAGAATGCACCCACTCAGTTTCTGTCAGTAAGCATGGCTGGACTGAGAGGAAGATTTTTTTTTTTTAAATAAGGTTCAGTAAAGTAATTTTAAAATCCTATGTACATAAAAAGTACCAATTCAAAAATAAAGGATAAAACCGGTAGCCTTAGCACTGTCAGTATAGGCAGCTATGCTGATTCCCTTAATTAATTAGATAAATATAACTATGAGGAGAAACTGTGCAATCTAGCTGTGTAGTAGAGAGGTTTAAAATACAACTGAGGGAAGCATACTACGCTCTCGCTGTGATCTCAGTTCACTTGGCAAGAGCTGCCAGGCTGGATCAATGCCATTGTTTCTCTCTGTTGTGTCATCCTTTGTTTCTGTTTTTTTAACTTCTCATTTTCCAAATTCTGTTTCTATAAGTAGTCTGTAACTAGCTTAGCTGATATGATGTAGCTATTAACTCAGTGTTTCACAATTAATTACTTATTTTAACACAATTTAATATATTTGCATGGATAGTGGGTCAGCAGAACATTTGAGACATGGAAAAAATCACACGTAGACAAAGTTTTATTGCAGTTCTCACAAAAGCTAGGTTATAAAAGGGAAAGCCAACTGTGCTGGAGATCCTTTTCCTGTGAAATCAGAACTTTTGTGGATTTAAAGAAATATCTAGACCTCAAATAGCATAAAATTCCAATACCATGCCATGGATTTTGTTAAGAATGAATCACTAGTCACTTTTAGTCAACTGCATACATTTTCTATCTTTTAAAAACTCTGTTTTTTTTAATCTTGGATTGGTTTGGACAAAAGAATGACCCCTCTGCAAAAGTAGCTGTACAGCAGAAGTTGGCAGTTATTAATACCTTGTAGTTGGTGCTACATAACTACTAAAGATAGCTGACTCCTACCAGGCTAGTTCCTATTATGGCTGTGTAGCTCATGCTCTTAAAGTGACAGTCTTATCTGGATAATGAAAATGAGTTACTAATAGTGTTATTCCGCTGCCTTGCTACTGATTTTTTAAGGTTAAGCCTAACATAAAACTGAATACTGCAAAATACTAAAAAAATTCAGTATCCTTAAATCCTACCCAAAACAACAGTACTGGCAGAAAAAGCAAAGCACTTAGAATATGTATTCATCATGCATGGATTAGCAAACATAGAAGGAATTAGTGCTCTTGGCTGGTTTGTGTAGGAGCTCCCAGCTATGAAGGAAATTTTATAGCCAGCTCTACGCTATCTGGACTAATGAAATACAGAAATGCCCAGATAATATGAATACCAAGGGATGTGACACAAATGAGGCCGCATGGAAGTAGCTCAGATATAGTTTAAAGCCACTGGTCTTGCTCTAGCTCAGCATCTGTTATCCTAGACTTCTGCAGAAAAATCATCTCTCTGCATTCTTTTGTCTGCAAAGCTCTAGAAGAGATTTTCTGCTTGGATGCAAATCCTCACAACTAGGTTCACTCTGGTACTACACCCAAGTCATAAGCTTTCCTGCATTCAGGGTGTTGCAGAGGTCACTAGGTTCATAACTGGTAAAAAAAGAGCTAACAAGTGTAGTTGGACATGAGCTCTCTCCAGCACTCCCAGGCATGGATGATGACAGTGGATCTGCCAGGCATCAAGTTGGGGCCACAGATCTCACTAACTCAGGCTTCCTCCCTCACCAATCATGCTGGTGACAGCATAGTACATGCATGTGGGGCTGTACTGGAGTCAGTAAACTCAGGCAGAATTCAGACAGTTCTTCTGGGTATCAACTCCATGTCTCCACATCTGTCATACAGTTAATATATAATTCAGATAAAATGTCCACGGATAATTGAGAGTTGACTGAAACGATTGCAGTGCTGGTTTTTACTTTAAAAATTAGTCTGTCAGAAATAAAGGAGGAACATAGGCAAACTTTAAGGTGTTTATTGACTTGTGAATAGAATAATGAATGTTGTTTCAGAATATCATAGCAGTAATCACATGCCGGTTGTTTCTTGAGTATGTCCAGTTACTTCAGACTGCATCCAGTCGGTTACAAATACTGTATATTTTTGCTATTAGTGCTTTCTTCTAATGAAATCTGTGTTTTAATTCAAAGTAGACAGAGTTCCTGATCAATGCAGAATTTGTATGGCTAGAAAGATTATGTCAGCTCTGATAAAAGTTTGTCATTCTCAAAAACAAAGTCACTTTTGATATCTGCAGTTTATAAGCTTTCAACCAACACATTACCAAAACTGAGCTTAAAAATTGTAAGCAATGAATAAGCATATACATAGGAGAATTTTCCTATGAGGCTTTTATCAAAGTTTTTATTTCAGTTCTCAAAAAGTATTGTTAATGAAGTGCTAGCAAAGCCAAAGAGACTAAGATTTGCCAATAATAACATCCATAAGGCTCACTTGGACTGTTTTCTGTTTGCATATTTTCTGAAGTCTGCTTTGGAAATCCATCGTGGTGTTCAACAGCTAGATATTAACAACACTTACAACAAAATACTGAATTGGCAGGTAAACAGAGCCAATCCATTACAGTGTGCTGCAGAAGAAACAACCATTTTGCTCTCCATATGGTCACATAAGGATCTAAACTTCTTTCTTGCAGAAAGCAAATGAGTATCATGGTTGTGCTGATACCTATTCAAGCCTTTTGGGTTTTGCTAGGGGTTTGTTTTAACCACTGTATTTAATAAACTGTAACAGCATTTTTGCATCAGTGTGTTAACCAAAAAAAAAGTACTTTGTGTAGTCAAATAAAATGCCAGCTCCAATGATCCAGTGAATTAGAATACATATGTTCAATTAGCTGTCAGATTTCATCTATTTGTAAATTAAAGTCCGCAGCTGAATAGGCAAACTGATGGTGGCATTCACGTTTTGTCATACAAAACACCACGTGGGGTAACTGCAAAACTTAAGAGGGGCTACTCTGGAACAATAAAAAGCAGAACAGTATTTCTTTCCCAGAGCTTTTCTTTTTTTCTTGGTGTATGCCCTGCTGCCACCCATGACCTGAACAACTCTGGAATAATTCTCCACTGAAACAGATTAGCAGGTAAAACTCAGAGAGCTAGTAAAGTCAAAAAACATGGAAATAACAAGAAGAACTTCTTGTTTCAAAGAAGCTAAAAGCAGTTGTGCCCTAATTAAACTGTTATTGTTTAGGTGCACTGAAGTCCACAAATGGAAATTTTTGCAGCTGTCAAACTGGGCTGGTATCAACATGGTGAAATTTTTGCCTCACACAGAAACTAGAAATGATTGGAACTTTTCGACAGGAGGCCTTATTTCTGTTTTCCTGTACTTTTCCACCAGGTGTCACTCTGCCAACTTGAACGGCTTGTACTACAAAGGCCCCTACTCTGCAAAGACAGACAACGGGATCGTTTGGTACACTTGGCACGGGTGGTGGTATTCTCTGAAATCCGTTGTCATGAAGGTCAGACCAGCAGACTTTGAACCTAATATTGTTTAAGTATTTTATTAAGACGATTTATCTTTTAGCAAATCAATCCCAATTAAAACAGATGTGCACATTTTTGCTTCTCATCTCTATAAATCTGGAATAATTCCTTTGCAACCAGTAGTTTTATGAGATATATATGAGAAGACAGCCTGGCTTATGAATCTGTAGAAACAAATACTAGTGCTAATATGTGTACAGGATTTTTTAAAAAATGCAGGCATTCACCTAGGAATAAAGACATCTTTATCAACACGGAAAATTTTTGGCTTCTGTATTATCTACAAATCCTTTCACCTTTTAAAAAAACCCAATATTGTCATTGTGTAACGGAATCCAGCATACAGAAGTAGATTGTCTGTTGTTGGTGAAGCATTTCTAGTGCTGGTCACATTATTTCAATCTAACATTTTTAGCTGGTCAGTGATTATGTCTTTCTTCTTCTTGGTAACTATTCTGCCTTTTTTTGTTTCTTGGTAACATTTGGTAACAAAACCTGGAATTGAATGTATTGACATTAGGAGTTTACCAAAAGGCTAAATAACAAAAGCTGCAACTGATGTTAACGTGAGCTACACTTTGAATATAGACTGTCATAATGCATGTGTAGACGGAAGTGTATTCCATGTGTAACTGAAATCTGGCATTTTAGAAGTTCTTGGTGCTTGACTCTATAAATCTGTACCTTTTTTGTGTATCTGTTCGTCTCCACAACTCTCCAAAATTGAATGCCCTGTTCAGTCACTTCAAAGTGGTTCTGCTTCTAAGCTTATTATCTTCTTTTCCTATGTCTTTGTCTTAGCTCCCTGAGCTTTCCCCCTTCTTAAGCTACAGATGTACAAGAAAAATCATAACAGAGATTGCCTACCCCTGGCTTTTGTGTCTAGCACCTCAGTACACTCTAATAGGTAGTAATAACAAGAATCACTGGTTAGTGCTTGCTGCCATGGAGAAGATAGGAACACACTCTAGAAAGCTATCTGATTAAATGTAATCCATTTCTGCTGAGCAGATGTAAATGAAGATTTTAAAAAACACATGGACCTGAGCCAAACTTGGGCACTTTTATTTCCCTGCTTTCCTAAAATAATTTTGCTTTTGTGGTTGGACTGCCAGTCTCTCTCCCTCTGTCCAAATAGAGTTTTTGAATCTGTCAGCCAGTTTCAGTCAAGCGCAACATAATTGAAACTAACTTTTGGCAATCTATCAGTCAATGTGTAACTATGTTTGTATGAATACAGGTCAGCTGAATGATAACTCCCTGCATGGCCATATTTCCTTCCATTTCCATCCTCCAAAACCAAAAGTTTGGCAAGAATCCTTGAAAGAATTGCATGGAATAAGGTAGGGAGGATGTGTAGAATAATTGGGGGGAAAAAAGAGAGGCTCATATGAAACAATCTCATTCAGTAAAATAAATCAGATTATACCTAAACAAGAAAAGAGTTCTTGAGGTCTGTGCTTTTGTGGTAAAAGCAGGTATTCTAGAAAATCCAGTCTTTTTTTGTGATGTATCGATAGATACTGTGCTAGAGATTTCTAGCCTTTACAACTTCCCTGTACCCCTGTGTGAGAGGACCAATGGATAGCTCTACAGCTGCTTATATGCCCTTGTTCAATCAGTTAAACCAAATTAAATTCTGTATCTGACAGGAAGGCATACCAGCCTGTGTGTGTGTGTGTGTATGTATGTGTGTCATATATATTCATATATATATATATATGAATATATATATTCAGCATTCAACATTAAAACAGAACATCTGATATGTATTTTTACCCAATTTTATGACAGAATTTAAAATGAGTTCCTGGGTAACAGGTATGGGTCATTAATAATACAATGGAAGTTTTGGAGTAGTTTAAAAATATGTTGTAAGCAGAGTATTTCCCATCATAATTTTCAAATTCTTTTGCTGCTTTAAGTGGAGAAGGATTTAATTCTTTGTAAAAACAAGGATGATGTTATGTAGAAATTGTAAAAATGCCCTTAGTATTTGTAGAGTATCAAGAGAGATCATATTCCACATAATTCAAATAAAAGACATGGAGGATTTAAGTACAGCAAAGTTGGATCTCTAGCACACAGAGACAACATTTAACATGTACAGATTGTGCTCATAAAATCTGCAGTAATTTTTTTGTTGTTTGCTGCACCATAAATCCATACTCTTTACTTACAAGTATGCTAATGAAATCTTTCAGCTGAGTTAGGGTGCTTCTGTCATACTTTGATGAAAAATTTGACTCCCTTTCTCTGTTGGAAATCATGAAATGAAGAAGGATCAAATTTTTCTTTGTATATCTTACAATGTATTTATATGACTATTTGGACTGAATGTTCTTCACAACAGGGACTTTGATATCCTAGCTGTCTGAAAAGCATCTAGCATTCTGCTAGCAGTATGCAAAGACAGCATTTAATTCCTACCATCTTTCTATGGCCTTTCTTTGTGTAATAAATCTTTTTGGCCACATGAGAAACGTGTGGAAGTGTTGTAATTCAAAATGGTCATATAACTGTTCTCAAATATAAACCCCTGTATTTTCAAAAGGCAAGTTTAAATAGCTACTAGACAGGAGAGTACATCCTGGAAGAGAATTCTTTTCTCTGCCTGGCTTGCCTGTTCATATTAATTTATTTCCTCAACAGATATGAACATGTTTTAAGGTAGTCTTTGTTCTTAAAAGATAGAAGAACAAAGGCCAGCTTATTTGTTCAGGCATTAGAACAACATAGTTCCCAAATAGCTGAAAATTAATACATACCATTTGATACAAATCATATAACCCAACAGAAGAAGAATAAGAATCAAGGGAATAACAAGGGAAACGTTTTGTCACTCGTGATTTAATAAAGAACATGATAGCTACCAGCAACGTGTAATCAAAAATGCATCTTTTTGTAATACTTGCTCAAGGGAAACACCTTTATATTTTCAGTCATCTATTTCTGTTTTCTTCCACTTGCTGAACATTTTGGAGATTAAAAGAATGGAAACCACAAGCCCAGGTGAATTAAATGAGCGGTAAAAGAGCCTTACATGCTACAACATTTGTTTTCCCTGGTGTGTCTAGTATGCACAGACAGAGCTGAGGTACTGCAATCTGGCCTACCACTTTCCAGTGGAGACTCTTCTCTTCAGCTTTACTGCCTAGCTAGAGCCTACCTCTACCCACCATTTCCAAAACTGTTACACCTGACACCAATTCTTGAACACCTTCTGTAAGTATAACATTTTGTTCTGTCAAAGCTACTTCTCCTCTCTGTTGGCAAAATTCCCCAGAAAGAGGAATCAAACCACAACTTGCCAGGTCTGTGTACATTGCTATCATATTCCTTTAGTTTATGCCTCATTAGCTCAAAAAGAATGAAAATGCAGCTTTTTCTTCAGTAGTAGGTTCTCTTTAGCACTTGTGAAAGAGGTAGAAAGAGCAGAAAAAGTATCCAGAGAAGTATTATGTATCAAAATTATTAAAAAATTACACTTATTTCTGTCTTGTTGTTTGTTTTTTTTTTTTTTTAATTGCCTATTAAGAGATCAATCTAGAAAGCAAAAACCAGAGCTATTCAAAACCAGGAGGTACTTTGAAATGAATATGAGCAGATGCTTGCTGTTTTCTCAGAGTAGGTCTGAGAATTGGGAAATCAGCAAGGTTTCAAGCATTCAGCCAAAATCTGTATGCAGTGTATGCTGAGAGAGAGAAGTTAACATTTTCTGTTAGTTAAAGTGCCTGTTTAAAGAGAATGTAAAACTTTGCATTGATAGTGGCTCTTTGATGCTTAATTATTTTATTGTTGAATATATAGTGTTCATTCAAAGATCAACTTTTCCAAAAACCTGAAGGCCATCTTAACCTTTGTTTACTGCAGGATGAATCCAGCTTGTTATTGCTACATTTTCAGTTAACTAAGAGAGTTCCTCCTAATCCTACCCTAATGCATCAGAAACATAATATTGATATCCAGACACAGATTAAAAAACCCTGGGACCAAATTCATATGTTTATTTGCTTGCAGAAGAAGCAAAATATGGCCTTTGTAAAAAAAGCCTTGTAGCTTACTTTTTTCTGTCCTCCCTCAACAACTTGTAAATACCTGTTTATGTTTCTTTCACTCTCTCATATAGAATCTAAGTTTCCTTCCTTTCTTCTTTTCTTCCATTCTTAATGATAGTCAGATCTTTTATCTTGCCTGTTCGATGTGGTTTGCATTATCTGTGAATGCCTGCCTTAAGGAGTCTCCTTCTCTGGAGACATTCAAGATCCGCCTGGATGCCTTTCTATGTGATCTCATTTAGGTTCCTGCTCTGGCAGGGGGATTGGACTAGATGATCTTTCGAGGTCCCTTCCAATCCCTAACATTCTGTGATTCTGTGTGAAGGAACCTGGGTAGCTCTGAGGTTCTGCAGAAACTGAGCAAAGACTCTGAGCAGCTTAATGGTGTACTTAAGGCACGTAAAATGGCAGTTCGGTCTCTAAATCTATTCAGTGTCCAACCTAGTTTATAAACAGATTGGATTTGATTATTTAATGAATATATCACCGAGCACTGTGGGCAGGAAGATAAGCAGATTCCTTTTAATAGTATATGGTTCTCACAAAGGATTACTTGAATTTCAGTGCATTGAGTTTTGTTGTCCTTGCCAAAGGTCCCAAGCAATTTTCAATCCATGGTCTCCCATGTAATTCCAAAATTATATTGCTGCAGGAGCCACTGGGCTGGCACTTTCTGCAACATGATAGTTCACATTAAATTAGGTAAACACAGAAAGTGACATATGAGCAGAAAGGCTTTTATGTTAGTGATATCCTGCACTAGATGGTGCTCTGTACATGTATTTTCTTAGGCAATACCACATGTAAACTAGTACAAATGTTTCTCCTGATTAATTATTAAGTAATAGAAAACAAGTCAAAAAAGTTCAGGTGAATTTAGTCTTTAACTCACTTTTGAAGTCATACATGAGTTCCTAAGGTTACCTAAACCCTATGGAAAATCACAGCATGTAATTATCTTCAGGTATGGCACATTTTGGCAGGTAAATTGTTGTCTCTTTAATTTAAAAAGCCTTGCATCACAACAGTAGTTTGTATCTTCTGCTGACTACCAAACAGAAACAAAACTGAACAAGTGCCAAACGCTACCTGAACTAACACATCTGCACTACTTGTATTGCTGCTATGATTCCTCTACTGCTCTTCCCTGATGTGATCTCTTTCTATTTTTCACATCTCAAGTACCCTGAAATTCAAGGGAAATTTACTGAAATGAGTAAATATATATAACATAACACAAATAATAAAGCATCTGAATGTTTC